CATAAATAGCGAGCTGTCATAACTGTATGACGGATCGGCCGCCAAACATGAGAAGGGCAACAAAGGGCACATTCATCGTGTAGATCGAAAAAGTAACACACCAGCATAATAACTGAGATCCTGTGGGTCTTTGCATTTAAAAGGTGACAGTTTTTAATGAGATTGGCGGTTTTGAGGTGCGCATGAAAGGTGTAAGGTAGAAACATCTGCTTTACGGTAAAAGACGTTAAAAAAGCATTTATAATCAAACTGTATATATTTTTTCAACACTAACCTGAGAAATCGGCATTACTCACCTCGTTCATCTAGAGAAGAGTTAGATTTCTTGCATCAAGTAAATATTGATAATGACAAAATCCCTAGGCATTTTATACCATAAATCATCGTCTTTTAGTTACAAAGGTATTTTTTTTGTTTTTATATTTATATGGTTTCGGCTCTAAAATATTTCATTTCTTCCGCAGTACCGCAAGGGTCTTTACTTGGGTCACTATTATTCATTTTATACATACATGTACATGCCGCTGTTAAATATTGCTGTGATAAATTTTTCGCCGATGATTTACAAAATGTATAACAAGCCAGAAAGAAAATAGTAACATAAGAAACATAAACGAATGATTTTTAATCAATTCCATAGTTCTATTATCCAAACTGCTGTATCTGAGGTCAATGATCAATTTAAATCTATAAGTACATATGCGAAGAATCATAATCTTCAGCTGAACCGTTCAAAATCAAAATTCATTATTTTTTTACCGAAAAGGTATCATATTTGATAACAACAACAACAAAATATATTCTCAAACACATGGTTGTCCTATGGGATCTGTACTGTCACCAATTTTGGCAGAATATGTCATGGATGATCTGCTTGATACTGTTATTCCGACACTACCCTATAACCTCTTCTTCATAAAAAAATACGTAGATGACATTATTTTATGCCTCCCTTCCATAGGTCTGGATGGTATTGTCAGAGAATTCAACAGCTATGACCCCTACATCCAATTTACCATTGAAAAAGAAGATGAGAACCTGTCTGTCCCCTTTCTAGACACAAGACTCATTCGCACCAACAACAACAGCTTATTGGTAGACTGGTACCAGAAACCTATGGCCTCAGGTTGGTTTCTCAATTTTAGGTCATACCATAAGCTAGGGATTAAAATCAATTTGGTAAAACAGATGAAAACAAGGGTAATCAGCATCTCAGATAATACCTTCCACACCTCAAATTTACGTAAACTATCAAAACTGTTCATCGATAATGGTCATCCGAAGTGTCTGATTAACAAGATCTTATTTAGTTCACCTTCCAATATTTTGCCGAACTCTGGTGATGCAGGTAATAGTCGTACAACCCCTAATAACGGAACTGTTGTAATTCCCAATAATAACATCAATCCTAACAGTACAAGCACCAACCCGGACTCCAGACCTGGTTTTGCTGTCCTGCCCTATATCAAGGAACTGACCCCTAAGCTGATCAGATTGTGCAGTCCTTTGAACTTTCGAATTGCTTGCAAATCCGTCCTCACTATAAACTGAATTTTTTCTAAAATGAAAGACAAAGTCCCGCTGCTTGGCTTAACCAACACAGTCTACTCCATCAATTGCAACAACTGCAACCAAATATACATAGGTCAGACCTCCAGATCTCTTAAAGGAAGGATTACATCACACAAAAGTGATGCTAGGCTTCATCCTGAAAGATGCGCTCTAGCATCTCATGTTAACACAACAGGGCATTCTATGAATTACACAAGTATCAAAGTTCTTGATAAAGAAAAACACCTTTCCAAACGTTTATTCCTGGAAATGTCCCACATCTTCATGAATAACAACTGTATCAACAAAAAGACAGATGTTAAACAACTGAGTGTCATTTACTCATATTTGCTAAACTGCGAAAAATTGGAGAACTTACATATCTCCCCAAATTTCGACTCTTCACAACCATAATTAGAATCTGTGTTTTGGCCGATTCCACCAGTAAATTTCATTCCACTCAAAATATAATAATTCTCTTCTCACGATTTATTAATAATTGTTAATTTAAATTCCCATTAATTAAAATATAGTTTATTCAACTGCCTCTGGTCGGTTTAACAAATTCTTACATAAAATTCTGAAAATCACATCATCTGAAGTGATTTGGCAACGTTTGGCACACGCCCACAATTCGTTCCATCTTTCAACACAGACATTGACATCCTTCGGCCTTCTCTCAAAAGGGTGTCATCTCACTCATTATTCCATGACCACTAATTTGTGCAATCATCAAGTGGCTTCACGATGTAATGCTCTAATGTTTTTTAAATAATATTTAATCTGTTTTTAACTTGTTCTTGTCATATTTTATATAATTTTGACCATTGTACAATCTATCCAGCTCTCACCATGTTACTGGACGTTTCCCTCATCCTATACGTAAACAACAATTAGCAACATCCTCACATACTACTGTAAGTTGAGTCAATTTAAATTCATGTTACACTTTTGTTGCTACTGTTATCATTGTAATTGCAGCTCCTGATGATGATGGCAAAGTCCATTGAAAGCTAGAGAGAATTAAAAAAAGTATAAAGAGTCCTCTTTGCTTAAATTTTGTCGAAGTACCCAACAAAAGGCGGAAGCATTAATTTTTCACCTATACATATATATATATATACATATACACATATACACACATATATAAGAGTTACACAATAACAAATAAATAAAAAGTTGAATATACAACATTGCATCATTGATCCTACTGCATATCAAACAAATAACGTTTTAGTTTGAATTTGAACTTGTTCATATTAAGAAGCTTGAATTCTTGTGGCAGCTGATTATACATCCTGTAGTTCAATTTTGATTTTATATTTTGATGATGAGTATCTTTGCGAGGTATGAAATGTTTGATCAGACCTGGAGGATTTGGAGTTTTGACCAGTTTATGCGTAAAATTACACAAGTGAAGGAGTCTAATATTTTTCATGTTAAGCCATTCACACTCTCTGATTTTGTGTGATATGGGGTCATACTTTCTAATTCCGTATACCAGCCTACAGCAGCTATTTTGAACCCGTTGTATTTTCGTTATGTCAGCACTAGTCAAGCACGGTCCATAAATAAAGCTACAATAGTTGAAATTACTAAGCACCAAGGTCTCACATAATTTTTTTTTTAGTTTTTTAAATATCGACTGCTATAAATGATTTTGAGGGAACTAAATGCTTTATTTACAAGCGTTTGAAAATTGAGTGAGAAACGAAGGCTTGGATCAACAGTTAAGCCTAAATTACGAGAAGAATCACAGAAAATAAGCACTTCGCTTGTAATTTTCAACGAAAGAGTGTCTTTTAAAATATTTATACTGTTTTTATTGCTAAAAAGTATTACTTTTGTCTTCCTAGAGTTGAGCTTTAGGTTGTGCTGCTCTGATAATGTGTTTATCGATTGAAGCTCTTCATTCAGAGTTCGTTCTGCTGCAGCTCTGTCTTTCATGGAAAAGCTGAAATAAACTTGAATATCGTCAGCTTACAATTGTATCTTGACGTTTTGTATCTTCCTTAGGATTTCTGCTGTGTATATTATGTATAAAAAAGGCCTAAGTATGGATCCTTGTGGCACCCCTGACAGGATATCTGTGCTTGCCGAATAAGAACCATCAATATGAATTGTCTGGGAGCCTCTAAGGTAGCTCCATATTGAAAACAGTGAGGGGTCAGTAAAACCATAGTATTTGAGCTTTGAGCACAACAATTCATGATTGATGGTGTGGAAAAATCCAAAAGAATAAGAGCGCTAGACAAACCTTGATCATACGCCATTAAAATATCTGATGTTCTTCCAGGTCTGAACCTAGACTGGCAGTCAGGAAGTAGACCATGGACTGAAAAATATTCATGCATTTGTATATACAGATGTTTTTCAAAAATTTTTGAGACAGCTGTTAGAAGTGATATAAGCCTAAGATCAGATAATTCCGCGGGATTATTTATTTAGCAGATTTCCATAGAAATGGAAAATAAGATCTCTCTCTGCAGCAGTTGAAAATACATATGCGCTATATACTTATCAATGAAAGGGCTGCACAATTTGAACATTTTTGCCCATAAACTTTTACTCACAGCCGCTCCTTCATTTCCAAAGGATAAACTGATATACCTACGGGAGTAATATTCACACAAGGTTATATTCTTTCGTAAATGCTTCACAAAAAAGGAAGTTATTCTCTATAATGTACTTCCATGAGCCATAAAATTGCTAAATTTTGAAAAATTTAGAAAGCACATTAAAATATTTATTTTGGATAAATACACTTAAATTAGTTGTTTCTTTTAAGCTTTCACTTCACAAAATTTTTTAATGTAAAATTTAATTCTTTGAACTGTAAATCTGCTATAATTTATATTTTATACATTTGTTTATATACTATTATTACTTTTGCTAATATTGAAATATTCTATGGTTTATCTTTTGTTGTACTGTTGGACTTTTTTGTGGTCAAGTCTCAGAATAGCACTATACTAAACTTCACTCCTAATAAAGACGATTATTATTATTATTATTAGTAATGAATGTGTACCTATGAGGAGCTTATATGGCCTATCGAAATAAGATCTTTCACCAGAATCGATCACCACGAGAGTGTGTAGCATCTATCGGTTGAAAATGCAACGACCTCATTTCGCGTTTGATAGCCCAGTCACCACTGTGACCGCCAGAGGCTGACGATTATGGCGGTATAGTAGACGTGGGCTACCCGCTACTGAACAAACATGCTGTTTTCATCCGCCTGACTAGATATAGCCAACCGTGGACTGCTGTTTCGTGCTTTTTAGCAACTCATCATCTAGGATTGGTCGCTGTGACAACGAACTAAAGCATAGCAACTGTGCTCTATTCGAGGCATAAGATTGCTGTATTGCTCGGCTGTACAAATTGATGAACAAATCCGTCTTAATACCGCCCGCTTCAGTTTTTATATTGAATAACTTTTATAGCGGAGGCGGCAGACAATCCTGCGCCGCGCTTGCCGAAGACACCATCTGCGTCCGTCTCGAGATTAAGTTTACTGCCTTTTGGGGATGAGGAGCTGCTAGGGGTGCTTATTTCTGCCCCTTCGGAAAGCTAAGGGTAGGAAGGACACTGCCAGATAAAAAAAAATAAGGAAATTAAACCGCTATTGTATTCTTAGTACTTTAATGCATTGATAACCTAAAAATAGCCAACCTAATGCTATATTTTTGCATCTAAAAAATATCCGAGATATAAAATGAGATACCGTACCGTTATCTATGAAAATTTGGCACAGCTGTTTTTCTGTCTATATGTGACTTTGAAGTTAAGTCATTAATTTTCAGATAATGATTGTAGAAGGAAGATAAACCAAAATATGTGTGTAAAAATAAAAAACAAATAAAAGAAATGTTACATTGTTTTATAAAGTATCCTCCCGACAAGTATTTCAGTGCGGACCTGTATTTGATCGTGCGGTCTTGGAGCACCGGCATGCCCTCCCATGTGAGGTCTTAAGTCACCTGATTCACGAGCCCTTTGTACTACATTAACAAAGGCACGAGGGGTTGGTTGCACTCGATTGAGAAACCGATCCGCATAAATCCGTGATGCCGCGGCAGCATTTTGTAAAGAGTCCCTCCCCGTAAATAAGAATCATGTCCACAAGATCAGCATTTTCGTAAACATGTGCCATTTTTTATTTCGTTTGAGCCACGCAACAAACACCACTATTCACTCACGCGTTACAGACTGACACATTGACTGAATACAACTGAACAAAATTGTAGTAAAAACATCGTGATAAGCGTTTCAAATTATTTCGCTTTTTTGTTTCCGATGCGATGAACCGATAAGGCGGATTATATCCGTTGTTGCCAAACACGAGCACATAATATTATTATTGAGACAGGGCGGTACTCAAACTTCTAAAGGGCTATAACTTTGTTACTTTAATTTTATCACAAAAATGTTAAAGGAAAAAAACATTTCTTTTGATCAGATCTACTCACTGTTAAAATAAATGACTCAACTTCGAAGTTACCCTGTATACTTTGAAAAGGTTAGTGTCTTATACGTTACAGCACCATCTATGGGACATTGAGCTTTTCAAAGTATATACAGGGTGAGTTTTTAGTTTGGGCTCGGTCTATAACAGTATCCTCTCCTTGGAAAAAATTTTTATGTCTACAGGGCGATTCGTAACTACGTGGCGACTTAAAAATAATTTTTTTTTGAAAGGAAAGCCCGTTATTTTATTACAGACTTGGATGAGCTCTATCAAACGAAGCCATTTGACATAATAGTATACCTTAGGGTTTCATTTTCAAATTGATGACAGTTTATACAAGGTAGTGAAGAAGTCAAAATTAACTATTTTTCAAAGCTTTCAAATGGAATACCCAGTTTTTGCCTTTTATTTTCATAAGCTTTTTCCTGATATAAGGTTTATGGAAATGTGTATGATGGGTTTTTGAGTTGCTAGACACATAAGGATACCTTTTGACTAAGGCTGTGTAGATTTAATTTAAATTTGAAAACACAAAGACGTAAAAAATCGGAATTTATAACTTTGAAGATAACCTGTCTTCAGAAAGGTGAACATATGAATAACCCGTCAAGTAATGAATAACCCGTCAAGTACAGCTAATAGATATACTTCATTGACAGCATATTTAGTAATGATTTTCTCACACAGCAAACATCACTGATCTCATATACCATGCAGAGCAAAACACACAATCATCCAGATGCGATCTTGCTATTCAACCAACGTTCTTCTCAGAGATGAAAACTATGGAGTACTCGGTCTCACAAAACATATGCAACCAACAATGCGTGTAGTTGAGCGAATTTCTCCTTGGATGGACGCTCGCAACGATCCTAATGAGCAAACGTGAAATGACTGTTTGCACCCGGAAAACTACCTAGTCTGCAAGATGACATTTCATAGGTTTTTCAGACGTCGTATCACGTAACGGAGTCCAGATAGTATCAACATGATTTAAGCAAGTGTAACAATGTACCTGGGCGATATTTATCTTTCTATAGCATAATGGGGTACGGCGGTGCTAAGTCTACAGTGTGGCAACACCGCGTGGAGGGTATCTGGGAATGCCCCTCATCTACAAATTCTAAACCCCTAGGGCTTCAAAGAATGGAGATACTCATTGAACCCCATGTAATTCCAGATTTCACCCTACCCTTTAGTCGTCGGACAGCTACTTATTGAATGGTCCCTGTATACAGAAATCGTTTGAACTTGGCATTTCTTATGTACCCATCAAGTGGCGACTATTTATTGACTCTTCGAACACAAGTTTAAGGGTGGATTTCACCAGGATTGTCAAATCAACAGTCCGTTATTCTCCACCTAGGTATAGGGTAACAGTCCGTCAAATACTGCGAATGAGCTTCAAGTTCCAGTCAACAAATTTTAGCAACCAATAAAATGTTGATTGGAAAAAAAATGTTGAAAACAAAATACTGTCAAAGTATGAGATGACAGCTTGTCATTGAAACATCACCAGCTTATTGAATATTAAGAAATTACTTATGATTTAATCAAAATTTAACAAAGTGTTCGATTTTTTAATAAAATTCATGATTTATTTAATATTGTCCATAGTTTATTCATGTTTATATTATTTTCTTCAATTGATATGCGATTTTACTGATTCAACATCGCCTACCGTGTGTTTTTTTCCTATAAACCTCTTGCAGATAGCCATTAAGCACCTACTTGATGACAGGCTCTACCAAAAATTTCATATTGCTCGTTTCCAAACATTCATTTATTTACTTGCCGTTCATCAGTACCATTATATATATTTTTGATATCCAAGGTCAAATATTTCAGATTAATTTTCTTCTTTGTTTCCCACCGCTGGATATCGATAACTTTCTTCCAATATTTTAGAGTGTCGATACTTCCTAAAACGATAAGAATCGATACATATCGATACTTTCCTAGCATCTAAACATTCCTAATCTTGATAGTTTGTCGTTCTGGTCAACTGGGCTGCAGGGTGCGGTGTTGCCTTTACTATCTTACATTTTGCTAAAATCTTATGACAAATAAAAGCTTTAAATGAAATATTGCCGAATATGAATGGATATGCATAGAATTTAGAGTATAAATTCATATTGCAAATTTCAGATTGTCTATGCATGGACTTGAACCGGATTTTTACCGAAAAAAAAAAATATTTACCGATAACATCATTCTCCACGATTTTTCAAAATAATTTATATATTTCTATACTTGCCGAAAAAGAGCTGAAAGTTAATTTCATGTAGTCTTCATAGTTTTAGGCCCCATATCAATCATACATATGCATACACACTCAGGCAGTCGGGCACATGAGAGGCGTAGTTTTGGGTTGCCTAACATTACGAACGCACATCCTCATCCCTTACTCTGCTTGCCCTGAATTGATTTTTGTGCACACAAAAGGTACCGACTGGTAGATTACCGTCATTACCTCATTACCGGACAAGCAATAAAGAAACCGAAACCTGTCTGTTTTCAAAATAAGTATTTAATTAAAATGACAGGTGAGTTCATGAGTTCAGGGGCAAAACAGAAAAATATTCACATTCCTATAAGCAAGAATCGAAAAAGGAGTTTCCAGAATGGTTGCAAAGTACTTTGAAAGAGCGACCAGTATGCACATTGTAGAAGTTGTAATATAGAACTGTGCCCTCAAAAAACATGTTGTGTGCGCGCCCAATACAATAACAGACGGTTTCCATGACTCAAAGGTCCTTGATCTACTACTGATCTTGGGACGGCATTATACCGAATTTAACGACACTATTTACCGATTTGGTGTGGATTTCTAGATTATAAATTGGCAAACATTGTTTTTGATGTAACAAAAGATGATGAACCAATTGGAATACGTTTTATATCCTTTTTTTGCAAAATAACAAAAATCGGTACATTTCTACAGGTATGTATTATGTACAACACCCTGTACGTGATATACAGACAAAACAAGATTACCATGCATAAACAGTCGTCAAAAACAGTGAAAACATCCTACCAAATATAATAGCTAGAAAATCGACCTATTATTTCTCTCATTTTCATCGGTCCATTTAAAAAACCGACCGTCTTTTCTGAAATGATAAAAATTTGAAATTCTATGAAATTTATCCTAATTCTAAAGCACAAATACATAATATTACATCTATAAGGCAACCGTTTTTTCACGACTTTATTCAACATTGCAATAGAAATCACTGATATTCAGAGAGCTTTGACAGCTTCCGTCGAATTGCATTTCGATAAGGTCTTTTGCTATTGGTCTAACTGACCGTCAAATATTAATGTTGGTGAAATTGGCTCTAAAGGCAAGTTTGTAGCTCAATGGAAACGAACGTCCATCAGTTCCGCTTGGCCATGCTGTAAATATGGAAGAAACATACCAGAACATGCGCATTTTACTCCAAAGCATAAAATACGAAGACCATAAGTGGAATATCTGTGCCGATCTCAAACTTATTGCATTGTTAACAGGACTAGAGTGGTTTCACAAAATATTGTTATTCTTTATGCGAATGGCCAGAAACCAACATTATTTAGTTAAACATGGGCCGTTACGTGAGAACATTGTGTCCGGCCAGAAAAATGGCCCTAATGAACCCTTATTATATCAGCAGACAGTTTTTTATTTACCTCCTGTGCACATAATGGGCTTATACAAATTTTCGTGAAAGCCTTAAATAGAGAAGGAAATGCATGCCTTAATTTGATACGAAAATTCTCGCATATAAGTAAGTAAAGCAAAGCTTAAAGAAGGAATTTTCGTTACACCTCAAAAGGAGAACTTTTTAAGGACCGACATTTCAAAACTACACTTTGAAGAAAGGAAAAAAGGGCATGGGATGCCTTCAAACATGTATGAAGCAACTTCCTAGGCATCAAAAAGTCGGACGACTACAAGATCTAGTTGAAGAACTCATCCAATCTTATAAGGCCTCAGGTTGCAATATGTTACATAAGCGGCATTTTGTTCACACCCATTTAGAATTTATCCTTGACAATTTAGGTGTAGTTTCAGACGAGCAGATTGCTCATATGGAGAAGTCCTATGGACCCTAAACATGCTGGCGGACTAGTGCTGGACTAATAAACGTGAAACCGCTCCTGGAGAAAACAAGCGAAAAAAAAACTACCAAATAAATTGTTTGATTGTTTTTTATTTTATAAAAAAGTGGATTTATATATTTTTTTTATTTTTGAAAATTCATTACTAGATATATATATATATATATATATATATAATTTGGAATGTTCATATTTTATATTCTCCCTTTTCTAGAAACTTGTGGGTGATGGGGAGAAACTGACTGCCTATTAGATTTCAGTACAACACAATAGACGCAAAAAACTCGAAAAAATATCGGAGAGCGACAACAATTTTCAAAATGCCGAACAGTGTGTTCTCTTCTGTTCCACAAGTGCTCTAGAAATGGAACTTTGAATCCAATTTATGATCCTTGATAAATGTAAGTGGACGAGACAATAATACACATCTAGTAAAGACGACTCTTATAAGCAAAACTTAAGCTTTGGAATTACATGATACGAGTGATTCAACTTTTTACACACACTGTCAATGTGAGTTGTCAACTGAGTTTTTCTATTTCTATTCCCAAAATGTCGTAGTTTCAGATGTCCCATGAGTTTACAGAACAGAACAACATCAGATTTATCAAGGTTTAAAATCAAAAGATTTGATAGACAAGGGAAGCCGCGAATACCCCCCCCCTCCAAAGACGGAAATCACCTGGAGCGACCTACAGCGCTGTATGCGATAATTTCGATGTGCCTCTACGATTATTTCTCGCAATAAATCTGGCAACACTTCTTTTGTCTATGGATGCTGTGTTGTCGGTAGGTAGTGGACGGTTTTTGACTTCCGAGCATGGACTTCTAAGATGGGACCAAAATGAAGGCATGTCGTATGCACACGTGTTCGCTCGAAAGAGTGCGTCTGACATCCCCCCCTGAGCCCCACGGTGCTTACGGGATCTTAGGTCTTAGTCAGTGATGGTCGTTTACGCGTATACCTTATTTGTCTATGTCTCGATGTAAACAATTCGTATACAATGAATACAATGTATAGAATGATGAAGACAATGTATAGAATAGCATAAGTGAGGTTAGGTTTATTCGCAAACGTCAGAAAGTTGGTCAACAGTCAACAACTTAAAAAAAAATATGGTTGGACGCTCCAAGAACAAAGAAATCGATGAACAAGGGTTCATTTGTTGTTCTTAATTTATTTGAAACTGTGTCTTTGTATACGTATATAAATAAATATTATATATTTTTTCATTATTTATAAACTACTTCCACAGTCAAACCAATAATGCAATGTTGCAGAATTGGTATCTATCCTGAACTTTCAGTTCCACCAAAAATCGGAGAACCATTAGGATCGATCTGGAAATGATCCCAAACAGATTCGACAGAAATGTGTATTTGAGCGTAGAAAACAAGGTGTTGCAGCAAGTTGTGGCCTTCCACTATCGGAGGGCCAGCTTGTTCTGTTCAGCTAGTGCCAGAAGACCTGAAATTTTTCTCTTTTTTTGCCTGGGGCATCTTTGTTGGATTGTGGAAGAAAAATTCATAGATAATTTCCTGGGTCATTCCTGTTGTGAGTGCGGAGCATCTTTTTTTTTTGTCTACCCTTGGACCCGAGAAATTCTACAATTTGTAGGATCTTATTGTCTTCAGCCGCACTTTTCCCCAGACGGAACCACGTGAAAAACCCTACCCGACATCATCTAGGGTTTTTATTTTGGGGGAATCTTCGCTACTGGAGATCCATTGACACGTTTTCTACCGGGGACCTCTTTTCGAACAGAGAACCTTTTTCCACCATAGGGATTCGTACGTCATCGGCTTTGAAGCCTTCCCCGCCCATTTTAAATTAGTTAGTCAATAAGCTTTCGCACTAAGGGAGATCTCCTAGTTTGGCTGGCTTAAATTTTTGTTGTTAGCCGTTAGTGGATGTAATAAAATGTATTCATGTTAATTTTAGCAATTATTTACCCACACAGAAAATCTATTGTTTGTATGTATTTTTGTTTTTGTGATCTTGGGGTTTTGGGCTAAAGAGTGCCTTTCAACACCAAGGCGTCTTCCAGTTTTGGCGGATAAAAGCTGGTGGCCCCCTAAAAAATACCCCCCTACTCTCCGGTGTACCTGAGCATAGGGCCTAATTTGCCAACGCTAAACCACGGCTTTAGCCTCAGTAACCTCCTAGTTTTCTTTAATCATCCATTGCCTCAATTGAGAGAAATAACTTTAGCTTAAAATTAAAAAGTGATCCTAATTAAAAAAAAAGAGCGTGGCAAATTGTTGTTCTAGGCAACGTGGTGTGTGGCGCATTCTTTCTACACAAGTGGTGCCCGCCTGTCCCCCTCTCTCTCCTCCTCGTACACATGGAAATCTAAAAGGGAAGGGACTTTCACCAGCACTATATGCAAGTAGCTGAACTATGATTTACTATTGTATACATTATATACATTTTATATATTGTTTACGTAAATATCGAGAAGTTTCTATTCACCATTGTATGCACGTATACAATGGTGTATACAATGCGCCCACCACTGGTCTTAGTAATACGTGGCCGTAAAAATTATTGAGTACATACATTTTTTGAATCGTCTTTCTTTTCTGACCGAGTATTCGGCTGAATTTTTTTTGGCGTCAAATCATAAAGACCTTTACACTGATTATACCTCCGACAATGTTGCCTCCCCTCCTCGCACAGCATTCGGTGATGGAGCTTAAAGCTGCGCGTCACATTTTTCTAACGAGCCTGGCAAGCCGCTATTAATTCGCCCGGGGTTGAGACAGGGTTAATTTTAGGACAATTAGTGGGTCGCTTCGCTGCCAGACTCGCCCTTCGCCCTTGTCTCTGTCCTTATCTGCCCCCTCCCTACCCTCAACGCACAGATAACAAACGACAAACGGGGATTTCGGTGTCGATATAACCACGGGGGTGGATCTTTTTGTCAGACCCGGTTTTGTTATGCTGATCCATGTTTGTATTGCTAACGGGATTTGGAGCGGTTTTTATTGGGTAATTTGATATGCGTCATCTGTGTCAAAACAAACATAGCAAGTATGTCTTGGTATAGCATTGATATGCTGATGATAGGGGTTGCACAGTTGAACATTTTCGAGAGAATTAGAGGGGTTGTTTCATTGCCTGTGCCAGAATTCTTTGTCTAATCCGCATGTCAAATAGAACTATGAAGTATTTAAAGATACATCGTCTACAATTTCGGTGTCACATTCACAACAAATTGCTCATCATATGTCGAAAATTCGTCAGATCTGCATGAAAACCATTTTGGAAATTTTCATTCATTTCTGAGCAAACTTGATCTCTTAATTTTCCTTCGTCCGACTCATGGTTTTCGCTTATAAAAATAATCGTTTTACTTCAGGATCAAATCGCTAAAAACCTGATGCGGAGACTGCTGCGCGAAACTCGTTTTTTCCCTTTCTAAGGGTGTTCCTTAATGATATGCGAATATTTAAGGGTGTGAATCCACATGAAAAATTAGTGTTAGTTTGCTTTTTTATAAACTATGGTCCAAAAATGTTTCCTTACAAAAACTCGTGGTGTTGAAGTTTTAGGAAAAAAATGGAAATTAATTAATATTTTCAGAACCGTTTCAGATATTTCACTGATATTTAGTACGTAGTGAAAGTTAATAAAGTTGCTTATTTTTCTAAGCAAAAATAATTTTTAGCTTTGACAGTGGCATGCGTACGGGTATTGACTTCGTTATTTCTTAAGAAAAAAATGGTACACCCATCGTTTTGTACCAAATAAAAATTATTTTTGAATTTCCCGTTCAATTTAAAACAAATGATCTCTCTTGAATTGTTTTCCTTCGATGCGCCATTTTTGAGTAAAAAAATAAAAAACCGTTCTATTGTCCAACTTGCAAAAATATTATTAATTTAATTGGAAAAATTAAACACATTAGGGATAATGAACAACAACAACTGACAACATATAGACATGACATTAATATATATATATATATATATATATATATCCTTGGAGTGTTTTTTATTCTATCACAAGCTGCAACTATTCTTTCTCTTAACTCCTCTACAGTGTTAATGGGACTTGTGTACACTAGAGTCTTAAGATAGCCCCACAAAAAGAAATCTAAACTGTTGAGGTCTGGGGCCATTCTTGGGGTCCACCGCGGCCAATCCAACGATTTGGATAAATAGTTTGTAAATAATTACGAACCGCTACACTGAAATGCTCTGGTGCACCATCATGCATGTATTGTTTCTTATTACTAACGGAACATCATCAAGCAACAAAGGCAACTGTTGTTGAAGAAAATTGGGGTAAGTCTGGCCGTCAAGTCGTCCCGGCAAGAACAATGGGCCAATAAAGTGGTTGCCAATAATTCCTGCCCATACGTTAACCGAAAATTGGTATTGGAAATGGGATTCGGTTACGGCATAGGGATTTTCTTCTGCCCACAAATGATTATTGTGGAAATTCTGAACGGTATTTCGAGAAAAATTAGTTTCATCCGTGAACAGAATCATTGATTCAAAATGCGGATTTTGTGTAATTTGTTGGAGATACCACTGATAAAAGATCACAAGCCTGGAAAAATCAATGGGAAGTAATGCCTGTACTCTTAAAATATGGTAAGGATTTAACAAAAAATCCACTAAAATTCTCCAAATTGATGGCAAATATTTAAGTGTCTAGCGATCTTCCTCGTACTCGTTTCAGGATCTTCTTCGACTTCGTGCAGCACTGCTTCCTCAATTTCAGGTGTTCTCATACTTAGAGGTCTACCTTCAGATGTTCCTTTTCAGACAGAACCAGTTTCAACAAGACGACGATGAATATTAGAAAAGGTTCGACTATCTGGCAAAGAACGATCGGGATATTTCTGGTGATAAATCTGTCTGGCTTGCTCACCATTACCGTCGGCAAGACCATATACGTTATTTGAATAACAGAGACTTATCAGATGTCAAAAGCCAGTGACATATTCCAGAGCAACTAGATATTTATTGTCAAATTGCGTTCTTCGGTTATTACATTAATTTTCTGGGACAATAGAATGGTTTTTATTTTTTCACTCAAAAATGGCGCCTCGAAGCGAAGCAATTCAAGAGAGATCATGTGTTTTAAATTGAACGAGGAATTCAAAAATAATTTTTATTTGGCAAAAAACCATTGGCGTATTATTTTTTTCTTAAAAAATAACGAAGTCAATATCCGTACGCACGCCACTGATAAAGCTGAAAATTGTTTTTGCATTGGAAAATATGCAGCTTTATTAACTTTCACTACGTGCTAAGTATCAGTGAAATATCTGAAGCGGTTATGAAAATATTAATTAATTTCCATTTTTTTCCTAAGACTTCAACACCCCGAGTTTTTGTAAGGAAACATTTTTTGATCATAGTTTATAAAGCAAACTAACATTAATTTTTCATGTAGATTCACACCCTTAAATATTCGCATATCATTAAGGAACACCTTGTATACAAACAAAATTGATGATGGTTTCTCAAAAACGAAACGTCGGGAACAACATTTAAAAACACCATCATGTGCCTGAAAAGTGCCAATGAAAAATTTCATTAGTTTTTTGATATCTCTTCAAATAAAGTTGGAAAAAAAGCTATTTGGCCAAATATTAGTTTTCTCAAATACCTCGGTAAGCCATGAAATTTTTAAGTCTCTCAAGGCTTGTAAATACGATCCAAAGAACGAAGCTTTTTCCTAAGCTGTAACTCCCACAGGCATAGGATCCTTATCTTGGCTATAGATAACATCGCCTGCTCCTGCTTTTATATGTCACCCGTATCGACTACCAAAGATGCAATTTTTATAACCCCGTGGTGCACGGCAAGTGCGACCGATACGCGATCCGTCTGCATGAAATATTTTTGTAAGTTTTAAGGGAAATGTGTGGGGAAATATCTGAGGTGTGAAATATGTCTGATAATAGGTGTGTAGATTTACCAGGGTCTAATGTCAATTAATAACCCAACATCCCACCCACTACAAACCCCAACCCCCATTCTTTCCCCCTACAAAAAATGTATGAAAATGATCAGTAGCCTCTGAAACATAAAAAAAACTGAGTTTGGGCTAATTTTATATTTTTCGTTTTTTTGCCTTTAGTCCGCCGCCATTGGTTAGATTACTTTCAATTCCAAGGCATGGTGGTTACCTTGTGTGAAAATTTCGTCAAAATCCGAGCAGTATTTTCCAAGTTATAAGAGGAGTAGCGGACAGACCGACAGACTGCCGTAATATAGTGACATGGTTTTTCGTGGTATCATGCCATATCCAGAAAACATATCTCATTTTCCAAAATTTTCGCGATTACAATACCTCCTCGTCAGGGGCGTAGAAAGTACAAAAATGCGGCAGATCTGAGTGACGCCCCGCCCCCCAGTATCATGAAAATGGCTTCTCTATTGACAAGTGCTGATCATAAATGAGCTTCTGCTCTACAGGAAAGCAGTTCTGATACCGGCGTTAGAAATGCATGCCTATCAAACGCTTTATCAATGTGGTATGTACCTGATAACCATATACCTAGACCACTTAACATACATTTTTGTAATTACACATCTTTGAAAGGATGTGGCAGATGCGCTATTAACGTATTAAAACTGAAAAAACGTCAGCAAGGTACAATTAGCATCCAATTTCTTTTATTATGAATGCGAAGACAGCAAATTACTGAGTAGGCAGTGCTTAGACAAAAGACTTTCAAGAAATGAATTTATAATATTTATTATTAAGGGTTGGATTAAACCGACTCAGTGCGGTTATTATGATAAATGTTCGAAGACGGCAGGTACGGTAGCATGCAGTGGCGTTCGTGATAGGTATTTTATTCTGAGACCTAATAAGCTCGACTAAGAAGTATCATCGATACAAACCATAATAGGCATATTAGGAAGGTTGATCTCTATGCTGTTAGCAGGC